TAATCTTCACAATCTCAGATCCCCTCAACAATAAAAGGGCAAAATCAGAGAACAATTGGCCCCTCACATGCCTGTCAAAACATATATTTACTTTTAAAATGTGTTTGAGGGTCCTACAGGAGTTTGGGATACTGAAAGCAACTCATCTCATTTTGTGTTTAAAGAATACTGAGCTGTATTCTCAAGCACATTTTTTTTCTTTGCACCATATGGTCTCCAAGAATTCTGGACACATATTATAGGAGCTGTTGGATCCCTTCTGTGTGGCGTGTTTCAGATGAGCAGCGACTGAAGCTTTGAATTTCTCATCAGTACCTGTGGATTTACTGCTGCTAGCGGAGCCAGCCACCCTAAAGGTGCCGCAGTGGGACACAGGCTCAAAAGGTTGTGTTTCCATCACAGAATCCCCGTGAGCTGCAGCAGTGACATCAGCTGGAAGAAAAGTGGAACCTGGGTTTCAGAAGAAGAAATTTGAAGTATAATACTATACAGCATAGTGACACCTGCATTAAACAGTCTACATTTCCCATGGTTCTCATGTAAATTTAATGCAGGAAATAAGAAGAGATGTACATTAAATGTACAAGTTTACAGAAAACGAGACCTCATACTTGGTAAAACAGATAAACGTGTCTGGGACGTCTGAGTTACTTTACACTAATTTGTGTCTTCAGCTCTGCAGGAATTCTTACATTCATTAAAGTGGCAATCCTGCCACCTAATGGTGGCCCAGACTGAGCCCTCACTGAAGTATTGCAATGGACTGGCATTTATGTAGTGCTTTCCAGTCTTACTGGTTACTCCAAATGCTTTATAGTACAACCGCATGACTGGCTGTGACACATGTCACAAATGACTGGCTGTGTTTCACAGCAAGAAATTTAAATAAGTTGTTTATTCTATGTGCTTTAAGAACTTTATCTCAATTGCACACCTATGCCCACAGACATAACCATTAAGACCCGTTTTTGTTTGTTTGCTTGTTTGTTTGTTTTCATTCACTGCTGACATGCTTACAGCTGGCATTCATCATACTTTATCACATAAAGTATGATAAAGGGAATACAGTGCCTAATTAAAAAGCGTAACTGGGAGAGAACAGTGCAAAAGTTGCAAACGTTGTTTATATTTTAAGATTATTTAGAGATCTTAGATTGTGAAATTCACTTTCCCACTAATGTTTTTGCTTTATTTGCTAAAAAATAAATTGTAGCATAAATGAACCACATGAATGAGATGTGACATCTTAGACAATTATATTAACTTTTCAGAGAAGGAAACCCAGTGACCTATAATCTACACAGAGGTTTACCTCAAAGACTGAATAACTGTGATGGCCACAGCTGGATCCTCTGACACAATGATGTACTCCAGCAGCTGCTCACCACTGAGTGTATACTGTGGGTTTTGCTGCACGGCCTTGCTGAGCTGTTTAATATACCGCTTGGTGAGTCCCTCCATTGTCTAGTCTGGGTGACCCATTCCTTCTGCACAGGAGCATTTTGTATTCGGTTGCCTCAGTCTGCCACAACTGCATAGCCTCAGAACCAAAATCAAACCACTTGTTTATTGTTTTCTAATATGAGTTTATTTCCTTCTTCAAAGTATTTGATTGTGTCAAAACTGTCTGATTGTTCACTGTTTCTTGAGAAAACTTAAATGAAGACACATTTAATATCTGATGTTCTGCACACAAACATGCACAGTCACTCAAAACATAATAATATGCAAGGACTAAAATCTGGACCTTTTTTAATTTTTTTTAGTTTTTTAAAATACATTTTTGTTGATTATTTCAAAGGATCATATAGTATATTTACTGCCCTCAAAATGCATGCAAATAATAGGTCTGATTTCAGCACACAATTTACATGGATCGCTCCGCATTTTCTTAACTTATAAATACCAGCAGCACCACACAGCATGCAGGGAAACAAATCATTTACTCATGTGGCACAGCACCATAACTGAACCTGGCCCTCAGCCTCCTCAGCTTCTTTTTTCCACATCCCTTTAATCCAAGTTTCCTCTTTTGAGAATTTCATGAATTTATATTTACTGTGTGATATCACAGATATAATGTGGTATCATATCTATCTAATAGACTCCAATTTGTACATGTAAATGGAGAGTCCTCTTCACACACTG